TCCCTCTCTGTGTCCCTCTCCTGTGTTCCCCTCTTTGTCCCTCTCCTGTGTTACCCTCTGTGTCCCTCTCTGTGTCCCTCTCCTGTGTTCCCCTCGGTGTCCACCCTGTGCTGCTTCACCCTGTCCCTCTGTGTTCATCTGTTTCCTGTTTTATTTTGTAGTCTCTGCTCCTTGTGTGTTTTCCCCCCTGGACTTCCTGCCCTCGTCAGGCCCTCCTGTTTGTCCTGTGCCACCTGTCTCTAGTTTCTCATTAGTTCAGTGTGTATTTAAGTCTCTGTGCTTCCCTATGTCTTCGTCAGTTCGTAGTGGCGAGGTGCTGTTTCCATGTCCCTGTGTTGTTCCACCACACGTTGCAGTTTCTACTTGCCCCAGTAAGTCTCTTGTGTTTCCTTCCTCTGTTTTTGCCTAAGAGCATTTTGTGTTAACTAATGATTTTGGATTTTGGATTGATACCCTGCCTTCCTTATTAAAGGGAACTTTTTATTGAAAACCTTTTGTTCTGCCTTTTGGGTCCACCTGCTCCCTTACCCTCGCCCCACAAAACGTAACACACAAGTCAGTTTCGCAAGGTTCTGGGAACTACACTGAAATAACTCTAAATGAAATTACTCTTGCAATGACATACATGATATAATAACTATTAAGAGTAACTTTTGCCCCTTTAGGGACAGAGACCATGACGTACCAGGGAAAAACCGATGGCAAGCGCCCCTAATGCCAATGGGACAGGAGTAAATTTCCCTTTTTAGAGGGTTTACCCACATTCAAAAAACTTGTTTACCCACTAATATTGGTGTAAAAGAGGTTTTATTTAATGTAATGATTCAGCTGAAATGTATTCACATAGTTAAGTTCTATCATAAAAGATGAATCAGATGCCATAAGTGCATTTATCCCTTTCTAACTACGGACAAAGTCATTCACAGTCATTGTTCGGTTTTAAAATCAACTTAAATGTTAAGTTAGGGGATTTTGTCCTTTTTCTTTTACTGTGTAGTCACATTAGTAACTGATCACTCCCTGGGCAGTATGGAGAAGAGGAGATGATAAATGTAATGTACTTATGTTATAAAAGTATTATTGTATGCACTCTAGAACAAACAAAACCACAATAGTGATAAATCAAAGTAATCATAAATGATTTTCATTAAGATTTTAAGTCAAATACCAGTATAAAAATACACTGACATTGTGTTTGTGGCAGAAGTTGACAGCCTGCAGCGTTTGCCACACTATGCTCTTCAGCTGAGACTCAGGTACCCTGCAGAGAGAGCCAGACACAAGGGAAAACCAATTGTTATTGGAGAAACAAAACAAAAGTTTTCCTGATCTATCGTTCCAGCGATTTAAAATCAAGAAGTGGTGCTTTACACGGTCCTCATGTCACCCCGGTAACCTTAGGCCTGTCTCTAACAGCAACAGCTCCTTTGTTTTCAAGAGCAGATAGAGTTTCTGCTGCACAGTCTTGTGTGGAAAAAAGAAAAATGGTCCGTCTGCTTAGACTTTCTGTTATGTCTTCATCACAAAAAATAAAATAAATGAAATTCTGTTTAATGACCACAGGTTATATGACCTCCCAAACTTTGCTGCCACCGTTGTACTTCTTTGGCAACAGTCTTCACTCCCTCTTTTTTGATTCACCCCTTTTCCTTTCTTAAACAAATAAATGTACACATGATGATTAAACTGGATGGTAAACACGACCTCCTCAAAAGAGAGGCTCACTTTAGTAGTAGTGGAGATTTTAAGATCCTTTACTTACTTACAAAAATAACACTATGAACAATGAACAGTGTAAAAATACTCCACTACAACTAATGGCCCTGCATTTAACACTGCACTCAAGTAAAGA